CAAGGAAGACAAGGAGGCAGAGGGAGCCCTGATCACAGATGTTCAGAATGTCATTCGTGACTTTGCCCAGGGCTGTTTCCATGTTGTGGGCAGCGTGGAAGCCGGATTGGAGGGGTTCAAAGAGGGAATGGTGAGAGAGAAAGGAGTGGAGCTGGAACACGATGACTCGTTCCAGGACCTTGGAGAGGAATTGGAGGTTAGAGATGGGGCGGTAGCTGGAGAGGAGGGATAGATCCAGGGAAGGTTTTTTCAGGATGGGAGTGATGACAGCTGTTTTTTAGGGGAGTTGGAACTGAACCAGTTGACAAGGAGAGGTTGATGACGTCGGACAGGAGAGGGGCCAGAAGGTGGAGCTGGGAGATGAGGAGAGAGGTGGGGATGGGATCGAGGGAGCAGGTGGTGGGTTTGAGTTTGCAAACAATCGCGGAGAGGAATCAAAGATAGGGTCAAAACAGTATAGGGCAGATAGGTGGGGGGTGGATCATGAGGGAGAGGTGATGTGGGGGGTGGCGGTGGATGGGGCAGAGGTGGCTGAACGTATTCCCTCCATTTGGGTTTTGAGGAAATCCAGCATCTCCTCACAGTTGGAGTTTGAGGAGAGGATAGGCGCGGCATGGCAAGGTGGATGGAGGAGACGGTTTGTGGTGGAAAAGAGAAGCCGGCAAGTAGAAGGAGGATTTGGTGGAGGCAAGAGCACAGTGGTAGATCTTGGTGTGGTGAAGCCAAATCTGCCGATGGACCATCAGTTTGGAATTGATCCAGGCATGTTCGGCTGCTCGCACTTGTGCCTTGAGGGAACAGAGGTGGTTAGTGTACCAGGGGGATTTACGGTAGTGTGAGGCAGTTCGGGAGGTGAGGGAGGCAAGGGAGTCCAGAATGGAGGAGAGGGAGTTGTGGAGAAAAGAGAGTGAGGAGGGGAGATCGGTCAGGGAGGGCCAGAGACGTAGGAGTTCAGATGACTCCAGGGCAGTGGAGAGGGAGAGAATTTTTTTCCACGGACGGTATGTGATGGTGGAGGGTTGAGAAAGGGGAAGGGATGCTGAGGTGTTGAGGGAGATGAAGTGGTGATCCGAGATGGCTTTATCGATGATGGTGATGTCCGAGATGGTAAGGCCCCGGGTGATCACCAGGGTCAAGGGGGAGGCCACGGACGTGAGTGGGGGAGTGGATGAGGAGGGAGAGGTTAAGGGAAGAGAGGAGGGAGGAGAAGTCGGCTGAGGTAGAGCAGGAGGGGGTGCAGTAAAAAAAATATTATATATCATAAAATATACGGTGGTCAATTCACTTTACAGTATATTCTGTGAAACGCTTTGTGATGTCTTGAAGACGTGATGAGGCGCTATATCAAATGCAAGGATTATTATTATGTATTATTTTTCTTTTTTGTAAAAAAATCAAATTTTCATAAATTCAGTACACTTATATTTTAATTTAGTTTTTGCTTCTCTTTCAGGGCAAGCTAATTATACTAGTTCAAAGTAATATACATAATAAACAATGGATGAAAACATTAAAAATTATTGTAATGATTTAACATGTTAGGTATTGAGGAATTTAACAATGAAAATAAATGGCTTTTGTTGACTATGAAACATTTGTTGCTGGCTGAAAATCCAGAGAATTGACAAGCTGCAATAAAATGCAGAACCCAACCCAAGATCATCACTTGAAACATTAGTGTATTCTTACTTAAGGTAAAGATCATGTTGCTACTTGTCTAAAATTATATGTATCACAAAAGACACAGGGTGGAACTATGAGATGCAGAAATGATCTTGTTTTGACATTCCTAAAGGCAGGAAGATCAGAGGACATAGGTTCAAGGTTGTGAAGGTCAATTTTACGACAGACACCAGGAAACATTTCTTTACAAAGGGTAATTAACATATGTAATGGATTACCAGGAATGATAATTGAGACCATTACATTGGACTCATATAAGAAACAATTTGATACTTAATAATAATAATCCTTGCATTTGATATAGCACTTTTCACGTCTTCTCGACGTCTCAAAGCGCTTCACAGAAAATGCTGTAAAGTGAATTGACCATATATTTGTGGGCGAAACGCAGCAGCCAATTGCGCACAGCAGTGTCCCACAAACAGTCGTGGATTGAAAATGACCAATTTATTATTGTTTTTTTGTTTTGGAGGGATTATTATTAGGCGTGTGGAGTAAGGAAACTTGCCCAAGGTTTTGCCCTGCCTAGAATTGAACCCAGGTGCCTCGCCTCCAAGGCGAGTGCTCTAACTACTGAGCTACAGGACTCCACATTTCAATAGGAAGTCAATAGAATGCACTAACTGGTTCACAAATCAATGACGAGAAGGCATCAATTTAGATAATTACCAAAGTCCTGTAGCTCAGTGGTTAGAGCACTCGCTTTGCAAGCGAGAGACCTGAGTTCAATTCCAGGCAGGGCGAAACCTTGGGCAAGTTTCCTTACTCCACACGCCTAATAATAATCCCTCCAAAACCAAAACCAATAATAAATTGGTCATTTTCAATCTACAACTGTTTGTGGGACATTGCTGTGCGCAATTGGCTGCCGCGTTCGCCCACAAATATACAGTCAATTCACTTTACAGTGTGTTCTGTGAAGCGCTTTGGGACGTCCTCCCGACGTGAAAAGCGCTATATCAAATGCAAGGATTATTATTATTATTATTATTATTAAAGGAGCAAAGGGAGGTGGGGGGGAGAGGGGGGATTCAGGAGGATTGTTTTTTAAAAAAAAGGTCATTAGGGCAACTCAATAATTTGAAGGGTAAGGGAATAAAGCAGGTAAATGGGACTGAATTGATTCAGTTCATGGTTGGAGAGTCAGTTTATCCCTCCCATTAAATTCTGGAATGTACTGCTAACCAATCGAGTATCACAACTGTAAAGTTATACATTGGCAATTGTCATCCTGTGTTTTTTCCTATGTGTGAAAGGGCCAATCCAAACAGTGTATCTGGCTTTCGTTTCATAAGATATATCATTGGACTACAATAGCAAAGCCACTACACTTCACAGAAACTGACTGGTTGGTGAATCAGTGACTAAATTCATTGACAATTAACTTTTTTTACAAAATTTATTTCACAATATGAGAGAATAAATGGTATGTATGGAAAATTAATGAATGCTAAATTTTGGAGTTGCAAGTGAATTGTGTACAAGAAATTTCTTATTCAATAGCTTAGCGTCAACCACTCTCTTCATACCCTAGTATAATAGTAAATAAATAGAAGAGAATTTCTTCCAATGACCTTTTGTGTTTGCCTACAAAATGCGCAGTCACTACACAATAAATCTTGTGAAGCGCTGTGAGAGATTTTCCAGACATGAAAGGTTCTGTATCAAATGAAAGGATTATTTACTATTTATTTATATTACAATAAAAATAATGTAATATTATACTAAAGCAACTTGTATTATGAAGTAATATAAAGACAAACAGAGCTTTGTCTGAAGTGTCTTACACTTCTCTCCAGAGGATTTTGTCCTTCATCTTTAAAATGCCATAAGCTAACATTGAAGTTAAATTTTGTGCATTTACTACTCCCCCATCAACTCTGTTTTAATAATTTGGCATGGAGCTAGTTCAAATTTCCAGCTTGCCAACAACAATTTGCATTATGTCACACCTTTCATTCAGAGAAAACATCTCAAAGGTCGAGTGGGATCTCGAGTTAGGAGTGAGTATGTTACCTTCATGCAATCTTTAACGTCTACCTGAACAGATGGTGATTTAAACCTTGGTTTAACCTCGATTTAAGGTTTCACCCAAACAATGACACTTCTGATAATGCACTGTACCCTATACTACATTGAAATGTCAGCTGAGACAATATGAGTTTAAAGTTCCGACATGCGGCCTGAACCCACAGCTTTCAGACTCAAGAGTCCTATCAACTGAGCCAGGGTGACATCAATATAGTTAGAATTTTGCTATACTGTATTTGATAGAGCGTGCAACTCATTTGGTAATATATTGAGAATATTATGTTTCCAATTTGTCCATCTTTATAAATTACTATCATAATTTCAATAACTAACATAAACAAAATTCTTTAAAATAAATACAAAGTGGGTGGTAAACTGTGTTTGCCCAATATATTGGTCATCACCCTGAGGTGCTACTCTATGTGAAGGGCACAATATAAGTGCAAGTTGTTTTTGTTGGTTATGTTTAAGATTGAGATTTAAATGCAGCCCAAACTTATAAGTTGTATAACTATTTCTATACAACTTCTAAGTTTTTCCTGTTGTCCGTTAGGGTGAGAAGTCGAACAACTCTGAGCAATCTTACTATAGTACTTATGCCTAGTCTTGGGGCTAATGTAGAGGGTATTGTACCCCGCATTTAACTGAGAAAGAGATGAAGTTGATAGTGGAATGATTTGATTACCCAATAACTAAATCCTCTTTGTAAGGTGCACATTAGGTCTAATCCCTGCTCCAAGAAAAATATAAAAATTGCATTGCAAGAATTGCAGAAAACTTGCTTCCAAATTAATAGTGAATTTAAAAATTATCCACAATTCGGCGCAATCTTGAATTTACAGCAAAATTGTCTTATAGACTATGACAGGTTGCATTTTAAGCCTCGTGACCCTAAAATTAGGAAGAAAGTGAAGAAATAGTTAACTGGACAAATACGAAACTGATTTGTTGGCCTTTTTAATTTTGATTGTTACACACCCTACTTATGGGAGTTCCAATTAAAACAAGTCAGACAGGGCAAATAAAGATGATTAGTTGAGAGGGAGAACAAATCAGAGTTATGTTTGGACTGCAGTTTCATGAAAGGAGGTTGTGATCTTTTGTACTGTAAGATAAAACTGTCTTTCCTAGAGTCAATAGTAAAAAAGTTAAAACATTACTGTTCAAGTAGCAGACTTTGAACTTGGGAAGCTTTTTTTTCTGGGCAACACTAACTTGACCCACCCATTAGCTAAATTACAGTGCAATTTAATCTGTGGTTCTGCAGTCATCCTGTCTTTGGTAATTCATCTACTGCAACAGCCTTGATTCTGAGGTTCCTCAGGTTCAACCACAACCACAAGTTTTTGCAAAATGTTTGGATTCTAGAAAAGAATAAAGGTAGCATTACCCTATGAGAAATTCAATGTGAGGAATTCAAAGTACTTACAGTAAAAAATCTACATTTTTTTGGTAAATTGGAAAATTATTGGAGCCATAGGAATATAATTTAATTACATTTTCTAAATTAACCAAATCTGATATTCCTTTCTGAATATGTGGCACTTCAAAGATTATAATTCAACATGTTTTAAAGGAAAAAGATTAATTTGCTGTAATTGAATGCCAAAAATTAGTTTATGCTTAAAGTTTATTTGATTGATTTTGAAATGCTATCTAATTAAAGATCATTTGCTACAAATTAATTTTATGATAGTCTTAAATTAATAGTCTTTTTAGATATTAATTTGAAACAATTTAAATGAGCCACATTTTTCCATATCAAATTTATGCAATTTTCTACAAAACACTGTTGGTGAGCTATCATTGCTATGTGTGTTTACTATAGTGTAAAATATAGCCTTTGTTTACTCATTTCCTCCTAGTTATTTCTTAAATAAACTATTGAAAGAAAAATATCTGACTCTAAAAACCAGAACATGGTGACGATATATAATGATCATTATGGCCTGTTCGTACCACAATCTTTGTAAAATAGACTTTCAGCTTCTAGGTGATGCTATGCTGATTCTGTATATTTTCATGTGGACGCTTGCAGGCTGTAAATGCTGAAATGCTGTACACTGTCCAGCGCCTTGGGACGTCATCCCGACGTGAAAGGCGCTATACAATGTAATCTTGTTGTTGTTGTTGAGTTTAACTTCTTGATTAGTGCTTATAAATGCATATGTATACAGTATATACACAACAAATTCTTCTAGTAGTTTTTAGAAAGACTAAAAGCCCGCCCGTCAATGGTGGGACAATAGGGCAAGGGACATGAAGCTGGCCAGTGCACACGGAGTGAAAGAAGAGGCTGGGTCTGTAGGGTTTGAGAAAGTCGCAGACATAGGGTGAGGGGAGGCATTTAAAGGTGAAAACAAGGATCTTGAACTCAATTTGCTGAGGGATGGGGAGCCAGTGGAGCCGAGCGAGGTTTGGAGTTAGAGGCTCATGGAGATTAGTGCGGAAGAGGACAAGGACTGCAGAGTTCTGCATAGATTGAAGCTTGTGTAGGGAAGAGCTGGGAAATCTGACGAGCAGAGCATTGGCATAATTAAGTCTGGAAGGGATAAAGGTGGGACGATGGGCTCAGCGACCATCAGGGGAGAAGTAATAGCAGAAGTGGGCAATATTTTAGGTAGGAGAGAGCTGTGTGGGTCAGAGCACAACTGTGTTTTTTTTGGCTTTCATACTGCTGTACCTCCTCAAACATTTTTTTGTTTATGCTTGAGAGATTGCTTTGCATGTGGTTGTCACTTTAAGCTGAACATATCATACCTTTTTAATTATTTCTTCTGCTAGGGCTGAAAATGCTTGCTCAATGTTTATATCATCTTTTGCACTTGTCTCAAAGAATTGCATATCATGTTCCTGGGCAAGCTTGAAATACAAACCAGTACATATTATTTATATCCATGGAACCAATTACAGATGCACAATGATCCCGAGGAGAGAATTTGTTTATAAAACTACCAGCTGTTTGGGCAAGTGAATAATCTAAGGAGGATCAATAGAGATCTGGATTGATTATGTGGATGGCATATTGAGGCGTGGATAGATTTTATTGTTGATAAATGTAAGTTGGAACAAGAAACTTTGTGTAGTTATATGTGCATACAATGGAGGAGTGGCTATCAGCAGAAGTGAAAAAAGAAAAGAATCTGGGTGTGATTATTGAACATACCTAGAGGTTTTGAGGCAATGTGAGACTACTGCAAACAAACTAAATTAAACATTAGGTTGTATCTTGAGGGCATTTGACTTCAGGATCTATACATACTGATTGCTAAAATTAACAATCTTTTCTTTATAACCTAACAATAGGATTCAGAATTCTCTCCCTTGAGATAGAGAAGATGAAGCCTATGAAAGGGAGATTTTGGTGGTTGTGGAGGGAGTGGGATTGATTAGTCAAAATGTCTTTTTGCATTCCATGCTTTGTTCTTTTTCTATCAGTACGATGCTTTATAATGCATATCCAGTTATCAAAGTTCAGAATTAGAAGATTATTTTTCAAACAATTTACAATAGCTTTCATTTCGAAGTGACTAAATTGTAACCCATTGTGAATATATAAAATGTACCTGTTTTCCTTTGTCCAATGTAACTCCCCGTTCACTTGTAAGTCACATTTGTTGCCAATTAATACTTGGCCAACATCCTTTCCTGCATTCTAAAACAAAATTCATTGTTGTGCATTTAATGGGGTTTTCATGTATTTGCGATGTATCACGTCTTCAAAAATCTACATCTATCCTTTATCTGACTATTTAATCATTAAGCTATGTTGTACTGTTTTAATACAGTAACCACAAATTGAGTCATTTTATATAACCAAAAGATTCCTTCTGTTCCTTTCTAACAATGCATTAATTGTAGGGATTTAGAATGCGATCAGCTGAATATGTGCGCATGATATTGAAAGTCTTATACAATGGCCTTTTTTTCTCCAAGCTGTCTTAAGTTGACAAAATGTAAGTCATTCAATCTTCATGAAGAAAATCATTCAGCTATTATTTTAAAGAACCCATGCTTTTATTACCTGTAATATTAATACTTTATACATATAGGCAAGGTTTCTCAGAGTATCTCTCATTTTTCATTGAGGCTGCCTCTACAATATGTAAGTCTATCGATAACTGACCATAGTTGCTATATTTTCCATGATAAGTAATACATTAATCTCTACATACTTCTTACATACTCTATGTAAAACAGAGTCAATTTTGTTTCCTGCTTGAATAATATTCAAGCCCAGAGGACCTTGCCAACCAACCTTCACCTGATATTCTCCAGGATTAGGTGAGCAGCATGCATTCCTCCAGGGAGAAGCTGTGCACTCCATTCCAGACAAATGGAAATTTTCATTCATTTTGCTTGGATACTCTAAAGCATGGTGATGGATTTCTGCATGTGTCAGATAATCGGCTGACCTAAAAAAGTTTTCTTTAAAATTCATTAACAATTCTTGGGAAATTCCATGAAACAAAGTGAATAAATCCTACTAAATAGAAATAGACCAATACTGATTTTCCTACTATAAATTAAATGTTATCGAAGCAGGAAACAAAATTTACTCAGTTTTTCATAATATTTTCTACCCCACCCCCACACCCGGCTCGTAGTTAGCCTCCGCACTGTTAAGCACTCTGCGTGGAGGACACCAAATAAATGCAAGTTGTTGTATACATATGACTATAATAATAATAATCCTTCCATTTGATATAGCGCCTTATCACGTCTTCGAGACATCTCAAAGCGCTTCACAAAATATACTATAAAGTGAATTGACTGTATATTTTGTGGGAAAAATGCGGCAGCCAATTGCGCACACAGTGTCCCACAAACAGTCGTGGATTGAAGTGATCAATTTATTATTATTATTTTTTTGAAGGAATTATTACCCCTGGAAAAGCGATCCGCCAATTAACTAACAAGTGGGTTCCTACTTACTGCTAGGTAAACAGAGGCGTGTCTAATAAAGAAATTTGCCCAACGTTTCACCCTGCTAGGAATTGAACCCAGATCTCTTGCTTGCGAGGCGAGTGCTCTAACCACTGAGCTACAGGACTCTCTAATTGACTATGGTCAATTAAGATCAAACCAGTATAGCAAACAAAAGCAGTAGTATATTCTGGAAAAAAACTCACCTCAACAGTATCTTTAATCCACCACGTGATATTATTGAAAGTATTTAAATTTGTAATATCATAGACAAGCATAAGACCATTTGACCCTCGAAAATAATGAGTTGTAAGTGTATGAAACCGTTCCTGGCCAGCTGTGTCCCTACCAATAAACAAAGCACAAGTCATTGTGTCCATTTTTCAGGAAAAGAGTAAAAGAAGATAAACTGAGGATTATGTTTTCAATGGATGAATTCTATTAGAATTTATATTCAAAATTAACTTACCATACTTGTAGCCTAACTGTGGCATTATCATTCACCCTGACCGTTTTTACCCTGAAATCAATCCCTATAGAAAAAACAAAAGTTTAGTTAAATGTGGCATCATACATTTTGTCCACAAAACTTTATTAAGGGCTCTAAGACCCTTCCCTGCGTGATGGGCACTATATAAATGCAAGTTGTTGTTAACTGTATGTAGTTGATTCCAGAGCTAATAATAACCCAGAGAAATTGTTAATTACCAAATTTGTGGGTTGTACAATTTGTGGGTTCAAGTCCCCGTTGGGATTTGGAACTAACATAGTCTAAGATGACAATCCAATGCAATGTTGGTAGTGTACTGCATTGTTGGAGGTGCTGTCCTTCAGATGAGATGTTAAACCAATCTGTCTGTTCAGGTGGATGTTAAAGATTCCTCGATTTGAAAAGAAGGAGTTTTTTTCCTGTGGACCGGGCAAAAAATCCCTCAGATTAAAAAAGCTGATCATTCATTACATGTCTGTAGTGTTTACAAATTTGCCTGCAAATACACAGTCGCCATTCTTTACAACATTTACAGAAATCGTGATAAAGTTCTATGTCAAGAACTATTACCTGTGCTCTCAGTATCAATTTCTTATCACACTTTGAACAAACTAAATATATTTGGTGCATTTGTTAAGCGCTCTGGGACGCTACCCTGCATGAGGGGCACTATATAAATGCAAGTTATTGTTGTTATATAATTTCTGTTCAGGTTATATAATATATATAATTGTAATTATATAATTTCTGTATCAGATACTTCTGCCACTCTTCTCACGAGGCTACATATTAAGTTCCTCTCACTTTATTAAATCAAAAGGACACTGATTCATCATTACTGGCAGTTTTACTTTTTGAAAGGCCACTAGGCCACTAGTTAGAACACTAGAAACCATTCACACTCAACTGTTTTTTGATGTTAGAATTTTGCCTCTGACTTTCACAGAAATCTTTTCCAATGATAGAATGTTTTTGCCAATCTGGTAATGATATTGATGCTCACAAAAGATATTTGAATACTTCACAAAATATCTGCAGATTGAACTATAATTATGCATCACCACCCAGTGGCCATACTTGCACATTTCCCATTGTAAACATTCAAATATTGTCTTACCACAGGTTCCAACACTCTGTAGGCATATAAGGATTGTAAAAGGATACTATTAATTTTGGTCTGAACTTTTATTCAGGTGATACGACCATGAATCAGCAAACAATATTATTGTATGCACTGTATAATGCAATTCTACATTGCAAATAGGACAATACATTCTGTACATTTTACAATAAAAATCCTGCGAGGAGCTTCAAGACATCTCGATAGCATGATAAGGCACTATAGCAAACCCAGGGATTATTATATATTTACATTACTACAAAAAAGACTATTGCAATTATACGTAGGTCATAAATGATGGTACCCCATCATTTGGTTTGGGCCCACATATCACTGCTGATGTCATTTGTGTGTCGTGACTGCACCAATGTGCACGACGTGAGGGCGGTGGCGCTTTCTGCAACACCGACCTCACGTCGCATAGAGGAAACAATGTCAGAGTGGCTCATGCCATGAGTAAGAAGCTAGTCGACTAGTGTTGGATGCAATCCACATACATTGTATGCAAATCGTGGGATCTCATATCTCATATCAAGGATTCGATGGGTTGACTTAAACTCTATTGGTGAAATTATTCAACAGTCTATGTCAGAGCATTCCAAGTAGTAGAAATTTCTCCACTCATAGACCCCTGGATATCAATAGTATGTACTATTTCACTGGGGGTTTGCAGGCACCCTTCTGGTACATTTTCAGGCACAACCTCTATAAGTTTTTCTATAGTTGATTCTACAGCAGATAGAAAATTATATAAACTTTTAAATTTTTATTCATTTAACAAGTATTAATTTCATTATTGTAAACAGTACCTGATGCAGCAAATCCCAGTGAAACAGTATATTTCCAACAACAACAACTTGCACTTACATAGCAGGCTCCACACAGGGTAGCATCTCAGAGCGCTTAACAGTGGCGGAGCCTGACTGTAAGCACGGTTGAAGAGGGAAGTTTTCAGGCGGGAAAGGAAAAGGGGAAAGAAGGGGCAAGGCGGAGGGATCGAGGGAGTGTTCCAGAGTTTTGGGGCGTAGTGGAAGAAGGCCGTCCTGGTCAGGGACCGGATGTGGGAGAGGAAGGATAGCTGGGGGTCCAAACGGATATCTAGATTGAGCACTGGTTTGGTGAGTCTGAGGGTGAGCCCAGAGAGGTTGAGGAGTTTAGATCCACAAGAGTGAAGATGTTGACAGGAGCCAAGGCTTCCGTCTTGTCCATATGCAGCTGCAGGAAGTTTACACTCATCCAGGCCTTGATGTCTACCAGACAAGCTGTTAGAACATCGGTGGACCTGGAGTTGGTACTGGAGGAGGTAAAGTAGACTTGTGCGTCATCCACATACATGTGGACGTTTATCTCTTGTCTGCGGATGACATCACCCAGAGGGAGCATATAGATAAGGAGCAGAAGAGGGATGGAGCCCTGGGGTAACCAGCAAGTGACCAGACAGGAGCAGGAGGAGAAACCGTTTGCTGAGATGAAATGGAGGCAGTTGGTTAGGTAGGACTCAAATACCATGCAAATGTGGTCCCACTAAGGTAGATGAGGGAGGAGAGGTGGTGGAGGAGACTGTATCAACCAGGCCATCCTCCTCCACTGCCACTCCTCCAATCACTGCATTTGTCCATTTCAGTATTTTCCAATGCAGTGATTGAATTGGCCTAGTCAGCAGACATTAATCCGATGGTAATACTGATCAAACTCAGAAGAACTTCAGGAAATGAAAGCGATGCATGGCAAACTACTTGCGACAATTTATTGACGTTAAGGATGTAAATATAGAGTGCATTTTGTAGAATACTAAAGAGGACTTTAACATGCAAGATTGATAATTTATTACAAAGATATATTAATCTACAGAAAAATCACATGTGGAAAAGAATAATTTGCCTACAAAATACACAGACACTCCATTTTACAGTATATCCTGTGAAGTGCTTTTAGACGTCTTAACGACAGGATAAGGTGCTATATTAAATGTATGGATTATTGTGATAATTTACTGTCGGGAATACGTCTTATTCATTGCAATCCCTTCACTTATTGCAGTTTCATAACAATTCTTAATGTGGGCTCTTGGTAGAATGAGTGTATCACAGTGGCTATGCTGGAGAGAAGAGGTGAGATAGCACTATTGGATTTATTCGTATATCACTGTATTCTCGTATATTGTAGGCTGGTTCGGAGATAGACAAGCTTTAATTGCTCAGAAGATGTATTGAAGACAGATAGGACTCATATTAAGAAAAGAAAGCAGAGAATAGTGTTAACAGTGATTCAAATTGTTAGACCATATATGGAGCCAATGTTACACTAGAAAAGACATAATGATTGATTATGTTATATCTTTAATATTGTCTTTCCAATAAATTGCTTGTAAGTAGTTGGAGGATAATAATGAATAATTCATGCTGAAACACAGCATCTTAAGATTTCAAAACACTTGATTTAATCAGCTGTTGGTTTCCTAAAGCGTAGTCCTGTTTCAAGATGGTTAGTGCGCTTGTCTTGCAAGTGAGAGGACCCGGGTTGATTCTCAGGTGGGACAAAATCTTAGTCAAGTTTCCTTACTCCACACATACACCTCTGTTTACCTAGCAATAAGCAGGAATCCACTTGTTAGTTGATTGGTGGATCGCTTTCCGGGGGTAATATTCCCTCCAAAATAATAATAATAATTCAGTCACTCAATCCACAACCGTTTGTGGAACACTGCTATGCGCAATTGGCTGCCCCATTTCGCCCACAAGACACAGAATCACTACAGTTCAAAGAATATTCTGTGAAATGCTTTTAGACGTCCCAACAATGTTTATATTTCTACAATTCTTTTAAATATAATTTTAATTTTTTTAAAATATATAATTATATAAAATATAGAGTTTATATAAAAACATGCAAGGATTGTTATATTATTATAGTAAAACATAAGACATGGTAAATGTTAAGAATACACAAATGAGTAAAGGCCATTCAGCCTATTTTGTTCACGTACTCATCCACTTCTTGTTGATATAAACTATTTTTTATATTCTTGTTTCAATAAAAAAAGAGTCGTTAAATAGCAGTTCTGGCTTTATACATTTCTGTATCTGTACATTTCTGTATCTGAAAATAACACAATAAGTTTTTCATACTGATTGTTTTACTGCGATTTTATGTCACCACATTGAAATATGATATCAGCAGCAGTATAAACATCACCAATGCAAATCAATTCATGCTTATCTGAGAAATGGTCTCTGATAAACAGTACAATGGTATTGTCTACCATTATGAAAACTGCTGGAGGAAGAGAGGAAATAAGTGTATAAATCTATCATCCAGTCAACAGGTTAATATTGTGCTAAAATCTAGTTCCGAACAAAAGCATCAAAAGAGACTCAATATTTTAGGATAGATAAAAACTGGGAAGTCAGGATGATCAATACTAAAGTAATGAGGAAAATCCCATTTGCAGCAAAAAACATGTTACTACATGATCACAATAGGCAGAATTTACATGCCATTATGGCTACAGATCAGTTCCTTTGAATGATCATGGAATACATTCCAGCTGGGAAAATTACACATATACTGCTGAAGTTGAGATAGTGGATGTGTACAGGATGAACCAAAAAGGAACTGTAACCGTAGTAATAATTGTAATAAATTGGTCACTTCAAACCACGATTGTTTGTGAGACATTGCGGTGCACAATTGGCTGCCGCCCCCAGATATACAGTCAATTCACTTTACAGTCTATTCTGTGAAGCACTTTGAGACGTCGAGAAGACGTGAAAAGTGCTATATCAAATGCAAGGAATATTATTATAGTAGGCAAACAATTGTTGGAAGATTTCAAGAGGAAGAACGCTTGGTGGTGTAATGGCCTAAAACCTATAGTTAAAGCAACTGAAAGCCTGTTTTTATAAGGAATTGCTAAAATATACTGGAACCCATTTAAGGATTAATTACATTGTTAATTATTAGCAGATACACTGTTCCACTGTCAAGACAGTATTTTGGGAGGAAGGAAAATACAGGATAAAACCGTATTTAATATGTATGTGTCTTACATGAAGCCATACTTTTGGTGTGTGGAAAGTTTATCATCAAGGAAATCAACCCTTACAAAATTCCCTGACAGTACTTGCCTATTGTAGATAAAATGGAAGAATGGAAAGTGTCCTCTGTCAATCTCTCTAATATGGCAGTCTTTCCTACACTGGAATCCCCAACTAGCACGATCTTTAAAAGAATATCACCAGATAAGTTCACAATATCCATTCTCAGTGCCAGGAAAGCTACAGCCTAAACCGTCTTTCGTCCAAATCCACATGAATATTTCTAGCTTCCTGACTGGGGAGGGAGGGCAGCTCCTCGCAACTGCTTGTAACAGGGCCAACCTCTGCAAACCGTCTTCGGTCCCTTTCTTGACAGGTAACGTTTTAGTTGCAGTTCATCATTGACTAAGGCTGAGCTCAGCAGAGTTGGCTGCTCATCAATGGGCAACACTTGACATCAGTGGGCGGTCGGGTTGTGAGCACTCAGTCAGGACAGGACAGAGTCATCTCAGTGGAGTGTTATGAGTCATCAATGGTCATGAAGGAATAAGCCCCAATGGTAGTTCTGAGTCCTCACAGGATCTGGATGAGCTTCAATGAACAGGACAGACACGATGGTCAGTTTCTCAATGGTCACTTCATAATTTGTCAATGGCCAGTTCTCAGTTCATCAGTGAAGGCTTCAGCTCAGCCGTCACTGCTTCTCGGTTATTAACCGGCCAACCCTAACCGGGGAGCCTCGCCTCGCCTCGGCTCGGCTGCTGAATGGCTGGCCCTCAGCTCCTCAATGCTGAGCGTCAGTTGCTGGATGGCGAGTCCTCAGTGGAGCCTCCAGTCTTCATCGATGACCATTCTTCAATTCCTCAATGGTGAAGCTTCTCATCTGCTGCCTTGCGCGGGGGTGTGGGGCTGCGTTGCTATGTGTGTACCAGGGGGACGGGCCGGTGGGGCCGTTGTTATGCGGACGGGGGCGGGACGAGGGTCCGTTGCTATGGGGAGGGGGCGGGGCCGGTGACGGACCGGTGAGTCAGTCGCTCCGTCGCCGGGCCTGCGATTGGCGCACGCGCAGCAGCGACCGCGACGGGTCGTTCAAAAGCAGGGGAATGGCCATCGTGCGGCCCGCGGGCCGCATTACTCGTGCCTGAAGTTGGACCCACGGGGCTATGGTCCACATTGTGACGTTGCCCATCCCTGTGGTAATGGAGTCGGCGGCGCGCTGCCCTGCGGCTGCCTCCCCGCCAATCACAGGCAGCCTCTGACATCACAATTGAGCACCTTTGTAACAACCCCATTGGTTGGAGGGGTATGTGTTTACCCGTCGCCATGACGACAGATAAACAACGCGCCTCGAATCCTGATCGATTTGGTTGTATGTGTTTATTCACCTCCTTTAAAAAGCACCAGAGGTTCAGCTGCACAGAAATACACAAGGAAATCAATAGCAACATGTGTGCAGAAATAACCCGGGTAGTAACAAAGCTAATTGATTGTACCACTGGGCAACCAACCGTTCCGGATCATAAAGGACGACCGTCTACTGTGCGCTCAGCAAATTGCAGGGTGAAAAGTTTGTCTAATTATGATAATAAAATCACTATCCCGGAGTCTAAAGCTGTCTGTGTCAAAAGAAAAATAATAAACCTCGGATGCAGATCAATGGACTAAAGTTTGGAACACAGGCAAAGCAGCTGAACCTGGTGGCTAACAAAAACAGCTAATCGATGATCTGACAAAATGCTGCATTGGACAAACACACCGAGTAGTGAGACACATTCCTTATGTTGGTGTGGGGAACATCTCATCTTGCCAGAGAAATATAGGCAGATATACTGGCAATATATGCAAACCCCCTGGGCAGAGCTAGGATGAATGTGATGGAGGGATTCACCTCATGTTTTTTCTGAGAAGTTTGGTGGTTGGTTGGTTACAGAAAGGCATTTAATAATAATAATAATAATAATCTGTGAGGCTTGAACATGAAATCACTGATGGTTTATTTGGTGACAAGACTTTATTCTGTTTGCCCAATATAAGAAGCATTTTGTCGAATAAAACCATAGTTTTGTAGAACCTGACACAAATCACAGATTCAAAAAAACATATAGTCCAGAAATAAACCATTAATTGTTCACTAAAATTTTGTAACTTTAGATACGTTCTCATTTTCAATCACCTCATGATCTTCAGTGCACTACTGAGGAAAAACTAAAAGATTAAATTGAGGTCCTTTTGTCCTTTTAGCTCAGACTATAATATGTTTGCATTTTCTGCAGTGCCTTATGTTGCCAAAGTGTTTCATAGCATTTACTATAAAGTGTGTATTTTCAGTCAAAGAGGGCAGCCAATTTGTGCACTGGGTGTCCCACAAATAGCCATGAAGCAAATGACCAATTTTATTTGGGGAACTGTGGCTAAGGGTATGGGGAGAAACTCCCTTCTCTTTACGAATAGTGTCTGGGAATCTTTAACATCTAACTGAATAGACAGGCAAGATCTCGATTTAACATCTCATCTGAAGGATGTTTAAGCTTGCTGTTAAAGATCATATAATATTATTCTCTTGATTACTTGGCCAATATTAAAATTCTTAAAATTATTGGCCCTTGTTAAAATTCATTAAAGAATTATTCCTTCCTCATTGCTGTTTCTGGAACGTTGCTGACATAGATTAGCTATCATGTTTGTCTCATTAAAGTCACTACACTTCAAAGTAAATCATGACAAAGATCTTTGAGTTATTTGACATAGGACACAGCAATAAATGCAAGTGTATTGTATATTCAGATCAGGATTATGCTTAGAACAAGATTTCTCTACACTGACAAAAAGGATAATTTGTCATATTTGTCCAATTGTTCATTTAATCACTCATACTGCAACAGAATCAAATTTAGAAGAGTTTATTATCCAAATGATGATCTTGTACAAGGAGTTGATAGTGTGTGAAAGATGACTTACATCTGCTGGATTGATAGTACTCAGAGTGCTGAACAATCAAAACATAAATAAACATCACGCACGGATACTGCCTCCACATTGCACCTTTGGCAATGGTGCCATACTGACAATTCTCAATGCATCTCTGCCAAAAAAGCAGGATAAAGCTTCCTTTGTGGACTGGCATTGGAGGAAGAAAGAGCGAGTCCAAGAAAGCGGCTTGTCTCAGTCAGGCAGAAGAAACTGAACTGAGTGAGCTCTCCATTTACGTGTTTGGGTGCATGAACATGAAGCTCTGCCTCCACTCCACAATAATGGTGGGTGGGGGAGAGTAGGCAGTGTAATCACGGCTCCCCGCTTACTTCATTACTAAAGCGCTGTTGGTGCTGAGGTAAAAAGGCAGCATGAGACACTTAACTACATTTCATGAGGACGACTGGAAGATTCGGATAAGTGCCAGTTTCAGGATCTGGCATGCAGCCTAACAACAGTCTCGTGCATTTTTTTCATGCTGGAAAGAACCAGTTTTAGAACACAGAGAGCACAACACAGAAAAAGGCTGTAGGCTTGTGCCATGCATGACGCTCCACTTTCTGCTGGCTGAGCACAGAGTAGCAACAGAGTTCATCATACCTCAATGGCAGAAGGGATAGAAAATTAACCCTCAGTGTGAAGTCAAGATAAAGAATCAAGCAGTGACTTGTTCTATCCGTAAATAATTATAGATTGAATCAAAAGTGTCACTAATTAAAAATAGACACCTTATGATATTCTTCCCAAAGCTGAACACAAAATCCACTTACTGTGGCTGAACTAATGTTCTATATATGAAGCCCTTATTCACACTTTTGTCACCTCCTTCCTCGATTTCTCGAGTGCAATTTCTCCAATTCTCCCTGGTAACCCCAGCGCCACTATTTACAAATTGCAAATGATTCGGAACTCAACAATACTGAACTCAGCAGCCCCATTACACCAATCCTTGTCAAGCTGTATTGACTCCTTGCTGAAAAATGGATCAATTTTATGATCTTCAAACTCACCGATAAATTACTTCATACCATAGCACCTCCCTATTTCTCCAACCTACTCCACCCCTCTCTACACACCCCTTCACTCAGCCGGCTCAGGCCTTCTGTGCCTCTCTCCACCTCACTGTACTGTTGAGTCCTCCCGACGTGAAAGGCGCTCTATAAATGGAATCTTGTTGTTGTTGTTGTTGTTGATGACCATACCCTCTGCCTCCAAACCTTAGGAAACCCCTGCCTCAATCCCTCCGCCTTGTCCCCTTTTTACCTTTTCAGCTCGTACCTGAAGATTTATCTCTTTAACCGCCCCTAAAGTAACCCTGGCATGGGGTCAAACTATGCCATTGTTCAGCATTCTGAGATGCTACCCTGGATGAAGAGCGTTATATAAATGTAAGTTGTTCTTGTTCTTGAATTCTAACACAACTATTCTATATTCACTAACCTGTTTAGAAATCCCAGAACCTCATTTGTCTTTTTGATAGCTTTTTGTACCTGCCTTCCACTTGTAGTGATTTATTGGACTCCTAGAACCATCTGCTCCTCATTCGATTGAGTGAGTGTTTTACCTTTCAGGCTATTTCCACTCTCTAGTCTTTCCCGACAGGCATTGCCTTACATTTGTGAGTATTAAAACTACCTTCACTTGGCCAGTCACTTCGCTACTTGTTATAAACAACATGAATTGTATGCCTAAAGTGATTTTAATTAAACGCTTGAAATGGGAGGTGATTGTGTACATCTTGCTGAAATCCTACATAATCAATTTACCAAGCCACATGATTTTGTATTACCAGCAAACTTGGCCACAACTCCCTCCATTGTCCACCTTCAAGTTATTAATGTAAGTTTGTAAAAAGCAGTTTCCTGCAAAAATTCCCTGGTGGACGATAAGCAAGTTACCACACCTGATAGCTCCCATTGCACTAAACTAAAATATAAAATCATATAAAAGTAAGCTGCAAATATTACAGGAATGCCAATGAGAGCTACCAATAGTGATAACTCGTTTATACATTGACAGAACATTTCGAAGCGCTTCACACTTGAAGTGTAAATCGTGGTGACAGTGTATTTGAAAGGAAAGCTTGGATTTGATGATTAAAATGACTGCTACTAGAAAATAGATTACATTACATTCTGAATTGGATTCGAGTGAAAATATTCCATTGGTGATGTTTAGCTCTTGACCATCTGTATCAGCTGTCACATTTTCTCCCATTTCTTCACTCTGTTCCAAAACTTTCTGAATGATGGCAGCATCCACAGAAACTCCCTCTCCCCATCCCATAATCTACCACATGGAACAGAATGGGATATTTGCCATGTTCCCAGGGGTGTTTAAGAGTCAAGTTTAATGCAGCAATGTGAAGTTGCCAATTTTAGGTTTTGCATGGTAGCAGACATTAATACACGAGGCAGTGGGATTGACATTTTATTGAATATTATGGTAAAATATGTCAGAACTGTCACGTGCTGTGACCCTCCCTCCCAAAAAACAGAGGCATTTGGGTAATTAAAAAATCTTTTTTAAAAAAGCAATCTATCTTATAGGTTTCAAAATGGTTTTAATACCTCACGCCTAATTTACTGTGTATTTTGGATGTAGGATATAAAAATAATCCCACTCAGAAACACCAGCAAAATTCTGCTGCACTAATGCCCATGTGGGGATGTAAAACAGGTCAGAAGAATCAAAGTTCAGGGAGTTTGGACCATAAATCACAGAGGTGGTGGTGGTGAGGGAAATGCAGCAGGCAAGAGGGTATCAAAGCACAGAGCGGGGAGGCACAGGAGATTAGATGTAAGAGGAGGTGGTGAGCAATGTGGCCCGAACAGAGCTGAGGTTGTAGGCAAGTGAGTGAGATTGCAGTTGAATATTGAGTCGATTGACAAATCGCTTTTCTGGGGGTTAATTTTCCTTTCAAAAAATAAATATAATTTGGTCACTCAATCCACGACTGTTTGTGGGATCACGGCTGTGCACAATTGGCTGCTACATTTAGCCCACAAAATATACAGTCAATTCACTTTATGGTATATTCTGTGAAGCACTTTGAGACGTCTCGAAGACATGATAAGGCACTATATCAAAATGCAAGGAAGAAAGGACACTGCAGAGCCCCCTCATCACCAACAAACAGGCAGCAAAATAACATGTCAGCCATAACTATCACAATATTTTTTCCTTGGGATCTCCTTGGAGCTGAATTGGCTCCAAGGTGACATGCCTGGCAATGGAATGTCAGAATTGAGCCAGGCCTCTAGTGCAATCTTGGTAGTCTGTTTCCTGAGCCAGGACTGTTTCCTAGTCCTCACTGGTGTTTATACTCCACACAAGCCTGCATCCCTCCCATTCTCCTCTATTCCCTTCTCATGGTGTATTCTCATGCAACATTTCAGAAAAAATATTAAATTCAGTCTTAATTTTGAAGCTGGTTTTCCACTGTTCTAAAAATAGAACAAAATTATCACAATCATATCTACTATTATTAAAAGACAATGATTTTAAGGCTAAATCCAGAGGGTTTTCATCCCTAAAATACATAGTCAATCCACTTTGCAGTGTGATCTGTGAAGCGCTTTGAGCCATTTTAACAACGTGATAAGGCGCTATATCAAATGGAAGGATTATTATTATATATATTATTATTATATATATATCTATGGAGAGAGGAAAGTGAGAAAACATTCCAGGTCGCTGACCTTATTATTTTTATTTTTAGACCTTAGAAATACAGATGCTTATTTACATTTTCACGTTGTTAAAAAGTGTTCACGTAAGTTTTGGTTTGTACAGGCAAGCAATGATTCTGTTTGAAATAAAGTTAAAAGCACACAGCATTTTTAAAGTTTTTATTTAAGTATGTTTTCAACAGACAAGCTTCATTTACACTTTCTTATCCTGTACAAAATTTACATACCGTTATATTCTACTACATCAGGGTATTTGTTTTTAACTTGGACATGCCTTTCTTCCGAAAGATAGAAAGATTTACATTACATTTTCAGAGTCATAAATTACCATAGTAAAAAAGCACATTTGAAACATTAAATATGTTTGGGAGTAAGAATTCAATACTTTGCACTTGATGTTTAAATAAATTGTCTCAGTGTTTTGTATTGATGCTGTGAACTGGTAAATGTCTCATTTATTATAGGGCACACAGGTTGGCAATATAACTGTTGCACAGGCTGGGCCTGCGAGGGGCTCAGCAACTTCCCCTTCCAGTTCTGTCCAAGTTGCTTTCTCAGGGCTGTAGCAGATAGTAGATGATTTATAGGCCCCCTGTAATATCAAAAACAACATTACTTACACACACACACACACTTTCAACTTTCAAACAGTCCACATTGTTTCTGGCATTTCACATCTCCAGGACATACTCGTTTCGCCCACAAATTATAGTCAATTCACTTTACGGTATATTCTGTGAAGCACTTTGAGACGTCTTCAATGACGTGATACTAAATGCAAACGTCTTACCAAATGCAAAAAAAGGTATTGTTGTGATAAGGCACTATAACAAATGCAAGGATTATTATTATTATCCTCACCATCACTTGTAAATCCCTTCCTTCAAGCTTTGGCACCTCTGAATCTCTGTGATGTTTTCCTACCTCACTCGTCAGCTCACCACTCTTCTACTCTCTCCCCTCTTCCTGGCTAACATGTGCTTGTGTGTCCCTGCCCCCTCTGCCCTACCATCAGTGGCTGAACCTTCAGAAACTATGTCCTGCATCCCCTTCCCTATCTTCTAGCCCTTGCTCAGTGTCTGACCTCATCATTATACAGAATTCAGAGACATTGACCTGCATCAAGGGTGCTATATCAATGCAAGTTATTTTGTATTCATTTTTAATCTTGTGGAGGAAGGGGCGTAAGATACAATTTTAACCTAAACATTACCTAACCTCCCCTGCAATCCATCATTCATGAGTGACCAGCCCAGTCGAGTAATAATAATCCTCGCATTTGATACAGCGCCTTATCGGGTCTTCAAGAAGTCTCAAATATTCACAGAATATACTGTAAAGGGAATTGACTATATATTTTGTGGGTGAAACACAGCAGCCAATTGTGCACAACAATTGTGGATTGAGTGACCAATTTATTATTATTGGTCAGTACTACAAACAACAACAAATTACATTTATATAGCACCTTTCACATCGGGAAGACATCCCGGGGACATTCATATACTTTCAGTCCTAAGAATATAATGCAGATTTCACCCCTTTTTATACACTGCATTTACTTTATCACACATTGCAATATCTTTAGTGGCTATGATTATCTGATTCAGCACCAGACCCAGGATGAAACCTAGGACGTTGCTCGTTGCCCCTATCTGCCCTCATTTTAAACCTCTTTCAAATGGGAATTTAGGAAAGGGATAAACCCATCAAAAATAGAGCATTTGCAAGAGGCCACCCCTTTAAAAGGTGCAAATCAACAACAACAACAACTTACATTCATAATAGCATCTTTCACGTTGGGAGGATGTTCTCCGTCTACTATATTCCCCCACCACATTATGTTCATATATAATCCATTCTATTTGCATAACCCTTCTGTGGTCAATCCAGCAGTAGTGAAGTTTGCCTGATATGAAAGATGTTCTGAATACCACTACACATTATTTGGGGCATTTATTTCACAACACACTGTTTAATACCAGTAAGGTGACACAAGGTGGCGCCATTTCCACAGATTAAAAAATTACGCGATTTGTTAAATCATGTAATAACTATCACAGAGATAAAAAAACAGAAGCCCTAAATTCCACCCAGTCTTAGTTTGTAAGCTTATTTTGCTTCACAATTTATTTCCCCCGAATTGTTAAAACATCTTAAATTCAGTTTTAATTTAGGATCTGGTTTTCATATGGGCTCGCTTCATATTAAGATTGAATTTAACAATTTTCTACAATTCTACGTAATCTTTAATTTTAAGATATTACTGTATAATCTTACAGGTTAAGTCTAGGTGGGAATAAAGGCTGGGGCCCAGTGTCTTAAAATGTAAAAATTGCTGAATTTTAATAATAATAATGCATTTGATATCGCGCTTTATCACATCGTTGAGACTTAAAGTGGAGTGACTGTATATTTTGTGAGTGAAATTGTTTTGGATGCCTTAAATTCAGACTTAATTTGGCTTAATGCGCCAGCCTGACTCAATGTATAGCACTCTCGCCCACTGAATCAGAAGATTTGGGTTCAAGCCTCACATCTTGGTACTCATCTACAACAAGAACAAGATTACATTTGTATAGCGCCTTTCACGTCGGGAGGACGTCCCAAGGTGCTGGACAGAGTACAGCATTTCAGACCCGAGCTGGGGTTGGGGGGGTAAGGGAAGGGAGGGGATGGGGGGTGGCCAATTTCATGGTCGAAGAGGAGGGTCTTGGCGGGACTTGAAGGAGGCTAAGGAGGGGGCGAGACGGAGTGACTGGGGGATGGAATTCCAGAGGTTGGGGGCAGAGTAGCTGAAGGCTCTCCCGCCAATGGTGGGGCGGGCGGGTGGGTCGGGGGACGTGGAGCAGGCCAGAGCCGGCTGAGTGGAGGGAACGGGCGGGTTGGTAGAGGGTTAGGAAGTCGCAGGCAAAGTGGGGCGAGGCCATGGAGGGTTTTGTATGTGAGGACCAGGATCTTGAACTGGATCCTCTGAAGGATAGGGAGCCAGTGGAGTCGGACAAGAGTGGGGGAGATGGGGTCACAGAGTTTGGTGCGGGAGAGGACACGGGCTGCAGAGTTCTGGATTATCTGCAGCCTGTGGAGGGAGGAATTGGGAAGGCCAACAAGCAGGGGGTTTGCATAGTCGAGCCTGGAGGTGATGAAGGCATGAACAGGAGTTTCAGCGGCCTGAGGGGTGAGGTAGTGGCGGAGTCGGGCGATGTTACGGAGATAAGGGAAGGCGGAGGGGGTCATGGCTTGAATGTGGGGGAGAAAAGACAGTTGAGAGTCGAACAAGACACCTAGGTTCGTGACTGGCTTGGTGAGTTGTAGTGTGCAACCATGGAGGTCTTGATCACATTCAACTGTAGGAAATTTGCCCACAGGCAGTCTGTCAGGACAGCAGTGGTCCTGGAGTTGAGGGTGGAGGCAGAAAGAGAGTTGGGTGTCATCCGCATACATGTGGAAGTTGACCCCATGTCTGCGGATGATGTCACCAAGGGGGAGCATGTAGATATTAAAGAGGAGAGGGCCAAGGACAGAGCCCTGGGGGATGCCAGATGTGACAGTGCGGGGACTGGAGGAGAAACCGTTCGAGGCAACGAAGTGGAGATGGTGAGAGGGATAGGATTCGAACCAGGCAAGGGCAGATCCGCGAAAATTGAGTAAAGCGGAGAGGTGGCGTATGAGGATGGAGTGGTCAACAGTGTCGAAGGCGCAGAGAGATCAAGGAGGACAAGGAGGCAGAGGGAGCCCTGATCACAGATGTTCAGAATGTCATTAGTGACTTTGACCAGGGCTGTTTCCGTTCTGTGGGCAGCGCGGAAGCCGGATTGGAGGGGTTCAAAGATGAAATGGCGAGAGAGAAAGGAGCGGAGCTGGGACACGACGACTCGTTCCAGGACCTTGGAGAGGAATGGGAGGTTAGAGTTGGGGCGGTAGCTGGAGTGGAGGGATGGATCCATGGAAGATTTGTTCAGGATGGGAGTGATGACGGCTGGTTTTAGGAGTCTAAGATAAAACATCTATGCAGTGCTGGGAGTGTGCTGCATTGTTGGAGGTGCTGTCTTTCGGATGAGGTGTTAAATGGAGTCTTCTTCTGCTGGTTCTTATCCAAGGTTTGTTCATTTTGCCTTTTGTTCATGGATGTTTTCAGTAGCTAAATTGAAAATGTTCTTGTTTCTAAATAATCCATTTCACTCAGGGTTTAAAAATCTGGATCACGTCTCTTTTCAGTCTTTTTTTCCCAAAGAAATAACTTCAGTTCTGAGAGTTTCTCTTCTTAATGTCTAAAGCTAGTTTCCAGAATAATACAGTATTATTCCTAATGTGGCTACAGTTGTGAACTACATTTGAACATTGGAATAACATGTTTTGACAGACGTATAATCTATTCTTCTAATTCAGAGGCCTGAATATTTTATGGTTTTAGACTTAAATGCATTAACTTAAAATTTAAGATTGTGCAGAATCTTAGAAAATGATTAACAGCAAGATCCCATTTGTATAGCGCCTTTCACGTCGTCAGGACGTCGCAAGGTACTAGACAGTGTACAGCATATCAGATTAAATGCAGGTTTAGTTTGGAATTGAGTCTTTTTCAGAATTGCAGGAAACACATTTCTCATCGAGTCTCTGATCTACTGATTGTTCCTCATTTCTGCCATTGGTGGTCAAACCCTCTGTCCTCTCCATAATCTGTTTGCATTCCTTCCTTCCCGTCTCTCACACCTTCGAAACTCTCTTAAATACATATCTTGATGTCCTTATTGCCGAAATCCCAATCCTCCTTTCTTTCTTCCTGCTCAGTGGCCCCTATCATATCTGTTAAGTGCTTCAAAGCATTCATCCTACCAACAGACACAATATAAGTACAAGTTGAGAACACTCAGAGTATAGGTTTAGTATCAGCTTTGCATTGACTGGAAACAGTCAGTAAATGGTCAATAATCATCATCAAATCCTTTACCATATTTGTTGACCTTGTAATACACAGTTTGCGGGTTTCCATTCCAGTGTGCACTGGCATCACATTTATCTCTCTGCTTAATTGGTTCAGATCTTGTAGCTTTCCGAAAATGTACTCATGCATTTCTGACAAGAAGTTGACACTCAATGTTTTGGATGTAAAAGGACTATAAATCTCATTATATTATTTGGTATATTTCAATTCGTACTGCTGTGGCATTTATTAAAATTTATAAGGTTTTGTTTCATCTAAGTGATGACAGTGAATGATTTTTTATCAGTGTACCTAGTTCTTTTCTATAATAACTCATGAATTCAAACCTACTGAAAATCTTTATTGTGTATATATTCTGTGGTGATAATGCAAAAATGCTCGGGAACAGGGGAGAAAAATTCAATTAGAAGGCAGGCAGACACTCCAGGGCAGGGTGTCAGCCTGGCTCAGTTGGTAGCACTCATTCCGAGTCAGGAAGGTTGTGGGTTCAAATCCCAAGTCAGGACTTGGAACTCATATAGCCTATGCTGACAATGCAAAGCTGGGGATATGCTATATTGTCGGTGATGCCGTCCTTTGGATGAGACGTTAAATTGAGGCTCTGTCTGCCTGTCCCATGTGATCATTAAAGATCGCTTGGCACTATTCAAAAAGAGGAGGAGTTTCTCCCGGTGCTCTGGCCACCAATCTCTCAAATAAAATTGGTCATTCCTTTCTGTGGCTGTTCATGAGACATTGCTGTGTGCAAATTGACTGACGTGTTTACCCACAAATTACACAGTCATATCACTTTGCGTGAAAAGTCTCAGTGATATGATAAGGTGTGAAATCAATTTCAAGGATTATGTATAAGTATTGGCTGTGAGTGTTAGCAAGCCACTTGATTGTAGGGGGTACGTGGAGTCCTGTAGCTCATTGGTTAGAGCACTCGCCTCGTAAGCGAGAAGACCTGGGTTCGATTCCCAGCAGGGTGAAACATTGGTCAATTTTCCATACTCCACAAGCCTCTGTTTACCTAGCAGTAAGTAAGGAACCCACTGATTAGTCGATTGGCGGATCGCTTTCCCGGGATAATAATCCCTCCGAAAAAAATTAAACAATAATAATAATTTGGTCACTCAATCCACAACTGTTTGTGGGTCACTGCTGTACCCAATTGGCTGCCACATTTCGCCCACAATATACAATCAATTCACTTTACAGTATATTATGTGAAGCGCTTTGATATATGTCGAAGATGTGATAAGGCGCTATATCAAATCTAAGGATTATTATTCTTATCACAGCTGAGGCTGATGTCTCCACAACTGGTTGCTATACATGCGTAACCAGTAAAGGGTGCTGTATAGAGACCAGGAGCAGAAACCTTATCAGGTTTTCCGCTCTCTAACCCTGTGAAGACCAGAACCAGTTTATCCTCTCAATTCAGGATTTGAACCATCAACAAACTCCTCATCTGTTTGCTGCAGGAGTAGTGACTCGACGATCGAGGCAGACTGCATTTCGTGGGGAAAAAAAGTCTGGCAGAAAAAACAGTTTCCAAATGAAGACTGAATTGAAGAATTTTCCCCAAAAATTTAATATCATTTAAATTTTAAGACTAAGCCAATTTACAAATTGTCAGTCTGTAATGATTAATGAATTGGGTGGAGTTTGTATATTAAGAATATTACAATCTAAGGATGAACTAAACATTCAACTTGGAATCTCAGCGATTGATGTGACTCAAGCACAAAAAGGAAGATTAGAATGAGATATTTTGCACAGAGAGAGATAAAATAAAAGGTGAAATGACCTACCCAGGAAATTAATTGAAGTAGATGGGTCAGTGAATTCGAGAGGGATTTGGATAGCTATTTAGTGAAGATATCTATTGCAGGGAGTTGAGAGATAAAGTAGTGTATTATTTTTGTCATTTGGAACCATCCACATTGACCAGACTAGTCTTTCTCAGGCCCGCACAGCCCTATCTATGTTCCTGTCACCACTTAAAGCTAGTGTTCGAATTAAAATATTTGATGAATAGGGATCCTGGAGATGATTTGTTCATGTTTTGTTCTGTACCATGGTCCAGTGTAGCACTGTTGCATGTGGACACAACAGCTCTTAAAGAAATGCATGGTAGGAATGCACAAAAAATGCACAAACAATTGAGTTAAAAAAAAAGCAGACAGGAATGAAACACATCCTCACCATACTCCAGCTGTAGCCCCCAACAATGTAAATGTTGTCATCCAATACTGTGCAGCCTGGACCACTACGACCCTCCAGGATAGGAGTCTGAAGAATGTTCCATTGGTCGCCTTTAGTGTCATAACATTCAACTAGCATAACATCGAGGTGTGAGAAACCTAGACCAAAGAAAGCATTGTTGAGTCATACCAATGAGTTTCCAACTGTGACCAGTACAATTACTCCCACATTACTTATTTCACATCCATTGAAGTACAAAAGAAACACAAAATGCATTAGATTGATACATGAAGAGAACTAATTCCTTTTTGAGCATACATTCACATTTAACAGGGAACCAATGACTAGAGCAGTACTTTCAATATGAAAATAGCTGAGAGTTTTCCCCTATATGGTAGGAGATGATCACTTTCCCTTGTGCACTGAGGTAGCTGACCCCAGCAGCAGGGGCAGTAGGGACCTCAGTGACCTGAGCTAGGAAATGGGAAAATCTCCTAAGATACCTGCACCTAATCACTTTCAGGGACCTCTGCTGGAAAGTGCACGTGTGGATGTTCGCAAGATCACAAGATCGATATGGATGAAGAAGGCTTTTGAGTCCATCCGATCTCATCCCTGTAGAATACTCACCCAACTATCTTCCTGTCACAGCATCAAGGTACTTTTTACACACACTCTCGCAACCTGTTCCAGTTATTAATTACCCTCTGACTAAAGAGGAGGATCGAGGTCAATATCAAATTGCCTGCAAATAGTCATACTAAAGTAGGGCCATTCAGGTGAGAGGCATTTAATTGAACAGATTGGTCTGTGAGAAAAATCATTTAAGCTACATTTTCCAAGCTCATGAATCTCTGGACTGGTCTCCAATTTATTCTGAAGCACTTTCACATGTAAAGGAACAGTCATTCTGGACTGCTCACAGCACTCCCCTCACAGAATGTACAACGCTCTAAATACAAGTTATGAGCAGAAATATTTTCATAGGAGGGGAAATAAATTATTGAATCAAATTGGTAGCAGCTGGGATAGCTGCATTTTACCATCTAAAAAAAAACACATTCAGGGGAGTACAATTCACCAAAAGCACTCCCACTAGCCTTAAGTAATGTACAATTTGATCTTATCACATCCATGTAAATATTAATAGATTACTACTCCCTTGTGAGACATGTTGAGGCTAAGGTTTGAATCACAATGTTTAACACTGGGCTCAATGTATAGTTCCCACTGTAGTGAGCAGCACTGTGCAGAGCAAACATTGCTTCAGGCAATGCCTGCTTTTGTCGATCTCTCATAGTCCCTTTTTTTTAATATGCTCCCCTCCCGCCACCTCCCCCATTGCTTACCCACCCACCCATTTTGTTTGCGCATTTTAACACTAATGATGATTTCATCTGCATTGATTTTCATGCCTTCCTGGCTGGATGAATCATTGACAGGCACTGTAAGAATCCTGCTTTCAGTACCTATTTCTAGAAGGCTGTTTAGAATTTATCCCCAAAGTAGTGTAATGGTCTATTTGGCACGCTGGATTGAAGAGGAACAGCTCAAACTGTGCTAGACCACTCAGGCATTCACATACGTGTTACAGTCCAGAGAGAAACAGTGGTGTTTGAAATGTGCTATCTGCAAACCAGATCTTGCGTTAATTGCAATTTTCAGGTTGTGAGATTTGCAAACTTTCCAGCCGGTAAAGTCAGGAAACTGCAGAGTGTTGGACAATACAAAATTCATATTATTTCCAGATTTCAGACAATCTTCACTTGGACATCTCAAGTGGTGGCTGGTCCCAGACACGAAACCTTCTCTAGATCCAGTAAGACATACCTTTTAAATGGTTTCCCCCAATGGCATACAGACGATCATTCACCACAGCCAGAACATGGATTGCTCGCTTGGTGTTCATGTCTTGTTTTCTGGCCCATACATCCATTATTGGGTCATAGCAGTAGAGCCATGGTACATACTCCCCATTATGAACACCTCCTGCAAATGACAACATTTGCATCTATTATCATGGTACTGTGTGTTATCTTGTGTGATGACATTTCCACCCCACTTTTGTCAGATATACAAGATGTAAAGTGTATGCCAGTGGTAACCAATCTTTATGGATGACACCCCAAAAAATTTGATTGAATATTTCTTGATTTATGCCCTAAATCAAGAACTATTCAATCAAGTAACCAACTGAAAACACACTATCGACCGAACACGTACTTACCTACACTCGTGCAAATTTTCAGGAGCTACTTCTTGACGCCCGCGCCCCCAGGCCACTTCTGATCTGCGGACCCCAGATTGATTCCAAAGATCTATATGCCCACAATATGAGCATACACCCATGCATTAATTGGTTTGGTCTCTACAGTTCTAAGTTGCAGTATGTTAGCACATTGCCTGTATGCTTGTAATTTTCTCGTGTAATAAATTGCAGATCTCAGTTATGTCATCTTGGAGAGCTGAGCCATCATTAGTCCAGTTTTCCCTTTCTCTCCTTTTCTCGTTCTCTGAAGGCTTATGCACTCCTCAAGTCATCTACTGTGGTTCCACAGGCATTGGTCGCTGACTAGGACCTCGCCCAAATAGGCAGAGCTAGTGAGGATATGGTGCAAAACTAGTGCAAATATAATGTATAATGTATATATATTATATATATATTATATAGAATGTATAACTATTGCAGAGATATTGTAGAGCTAGTGCAGGAAGATTCCAAAGAGCTAATAATTAATAAACAAAAATAAACAGATTTATTTTGTCAGACAGTTCTCTATCACATAGCAATAGGTAACAGAGACCTATTACGATGCTAGTCTGAGAGTTCCACATATATGTGGTACTGACACATGGAAATTTCCCAGTGTTTGGAATGAATTGCAAAGAGAAAGAGAAAAGAGAGAGAATGCAAAGAGTACAGTAGAGACAAAGAGAAAAAGTGAACAGAGAGAATGGAGAGTTGTACACCGTTTCACCCACAGAATATATAGTCAAATCACTTTACAGTATATTCTGTAAAGCCCTTTGAGAAGTCTCGAAGACATGATAAGACACTATAGCAAATGCAAGGATTATTATTGTTATTTTCCAGCTGAAGAAATTAATGTGAGCGCCATCTCAACATTGCCATAATTCATTAACATCTGCAGTAATATCCAATTTATTGTATTTAAAAGCAGAAGTATTAAACGTACCTGATATGTAAATCTTTCCATTGTGTGATGCTCCAGCATGAGCTGCCAGAGGCTGAGGCAGGGAAGAGACATAGCACCAATCATTGGTTTCCAGATTATAGCATTCAACACTTGACAAGTAGCCACTTTCATTCCTTCCACCAATCACATACAAGTGCTTATCCAGCAGACAGGCATAGAAACTTGCTCGCCTAAAGCCAAAATGAAAGTCAGATTGTTAAACAGTTCACAAGAAGCAAAGCTATTACATAATAAGTACTGTACACTCATGTTTTTATTGCTGGTGTAATTTCTGTGCAGGCAAACTCAAATTTGGTCATTCAACTTGCATAATTATCAAACAAAAATCTCTCAATTATAATCCCTTTCATTTCAGGAGAATTCCATTTTTCTCCAAGCACCAGTCTCTCAGTCAAAGCAACATTCAGCTGCAGGCTTGCGACTGATGGAGAAGTCAAGGAACCAGCTTGGCAAGACAGGTGTTGTTACAACTGGTAACAGTGGCATCAGAATGGTTTACAAAGACTGGGTACTCAGAGACACTACTCAGATACAAACCCCCAAATCAAATCTTCTTAAATTGTGACCTTTGCTAAGTAGCTCCAATGAAGCCCTGATAAAGCACTTGATTATCATTGGTAAGATGTTAAACCAAGGTCCAGTCTGGCTTCTGTCAGGCAGACATTAAAGATTCCATGACAGTATTAAGAAATGGGGGCTCTCCCGGTATCCTAGCCAACGATCCTCCAAATAACTCGGGATGTTCGTAAAAGATCAAGGGGTGTTAGTAAGAGATCTAAGGATGTTAGTTAACATATTGCTCACCACATCAAACCAATGTGAGGCAGTAATAAACAAATTCTCATGCAGTTCTGGTCACCAATACTTTAAGGGGGCTGCCCAGGCTCTAGAGGCAGTACACAGGAGAACAACGAGGATGATCCCCACTGTTAGAAGAATGTGCTATGATATGAGTAATGATTAGACAAGCTCTCCTGTCTTGAGAGAATACAACTCAAAAGGGACCTCATAGAGTTGTATAACATTTTAAATGGGATTGAAAAAGTAAGCCCAGATCACCAGTAACAACAAGATTACATTTGAATAGCGCCTTTCACGTCCCAAGGCGCAATACTTCAGGGTGCAACAAGACAGTAGAAATAGGTTTAGAGTTGTAAAGGGCAATTTAAGGAAAGAAACCAGGAAGTTTTTCCTTACTCAAAGAGTAATCAACGACTGGAACATGCTGCCTGGAAAGGTGGTAGAGGCCAGGTCACAGGACTCATTTAAAAGCAACTCGATGCTGTAACGTTGAGGGTGAGGGTCATAGTAGGGTGGGTATTCTGGAAGGATGAGATCAGATGGGCTGAAGAACTTTCTTCATCTAAACCAACCTTGTGATTTGAGAGGTCATTCACCTCGTGGCGGTTTCTTGGACTTTGCTGCACACAAAATGGCTGCTGGAGTTCCCTACAAAAAACACTCGAGAATAATTGCTGTAAAGCACTTTGAAATGTTTAGATATGGTAATGAACTATAAAAATGCATGATCGTTTTTCCAGCTACCTTTAATGATGCACTAGCTTCAGGAAAATAAGTAGACAAATAAGATATTGAAAGGGGTTAACTGAGGACAAGAGGGAAGAGATGTGTTTTGTTTAGTAGATTTTTGAAGTCAGGGAGTAAGGTTGCCTAGCAAAGAAGTTTTTGGAAAGATAGATCCAGTGGACAAAACGGCTAAAGGTTCAGTTGCCAATGGTGAAGCAAAGGGAGCAGGAAGCAAGCAAGATACTGTAATCAGGAGAGTTGAAGATACAGGATGGATTATATGGATGGATTGTGTGGTGAGAGCATGGACCATGGCAAGGATCTTAAACTCAATCCTCTGAGATACTAGAAGTCAATGGAGCTTGGAGAGGACCTTGAATGATAGAGAGTAGAGCTTAGCAGCTCAGCAAGAAGAGCAATGGAAAATTGTTTGAGCTGGTGAAAGAATACATATGGATTTCAGTGAGGGGAAGGGGAGGTGAGTTAAGGGTGTTGGTGGGCAATGTTGAAGAGGCGGAAGAAGCCGGTCTTGGTAATGGACTGGATTTTGGTTTGAAAACACCAAGGTTGCCACCATCTGCTCCGGCCTGAATGAGGTGCCAGGGAAGTTACTGCAAATACTATTGTAAAGCACATTAACAATGGATCTGTAACATAAATGTAAGCAGATAATGTCACCATTACTGTGAAAAGTGAACAAGCCTTTTCCATTAATCATTGACCTGATGATCAACATCTTCTGAATTGCCTGAATTATCGATGTTACAGCTGTGGTTGCAGGTTTCACTTGGCACTTATTAGACCTTATAATTACTTTAAGTTCACCAGCAGAAATAAAGAGTATGATTTCTGTTCTAAGCCATGTGTTTGCATTCCATTAGATATGAGATAGAGGTAATTGGTGAAATTTATTGATGTAATTCTGCTGTTCAATGATCAGGGTTTTTTCACAGGGTGTATAGGCTCAGAACTATGTGAAGTTTATTTTATTTCAGCAATGATAATAAACGCATGTATATAATTTAAGGATCTGACACAGGGCCAGTGGATTGAGGAAGAAGAAAAAGTGAAACCTTTCAATAGACCGGCCTGTTGTTATTTAGTCACTTTGTACATTTGCATCTTCATTTTAAAATCTTCAATCTCATCTTCAAATTGGCTGACATTTTCTCTTACAAACACAGTTATTGCACTTCACAGTACAACCTGTGAAATACTTTGAGACATCCTCCCTTATATAAATGCAAGGATGATTATTATATTTCAGCTGTTTACTAAACTTCATTTATTTCTAAAGAATGCTCTCAGATACATATGAAGGAGAAGGTTTTATAATAAATACAATAATAATCCTTGTATTTGATGTAGAACCTTTCACTTTGAGAGGATGTCTCAAAGCACTTCCTGTTGGGTGCACTGACTGTATAGCCAAATTGCACACAACGTGGTTCCATCTATCAAGTGAATAATGAATTTTATCTGGGGGATTGTCGGCCAAACACCAGGAGAAATCTTTTCTTTTTGAGAAGTGCTGTAGGGTCTTTATAGTTGACATGAATACGTAAACCATGACATGGTTTAAGTTCAAAGTCCTCGAGGAATTCAAAGTCCTAACATGAAATTTTAATCCACAACCTTCTGATTTAGAGTGAGGATGCTATCCGCTGAGTCAGGCAGATACCTAATGATGATTTGGTTGTGGTTATTGGAAATGTCAGCAATGAATGAGATTAATTTGCCCCATTGCATCTGTGCCTTGCTAGCTCCTTTCTGGACCTGTCTGTTGTAATCTAATTTTCCTACTCTTTCCCCATCGTCTTTCATATCTTCATTACTCAAGTGTACCACCTATAAAACATACAGGAAATCCTGCTAAGCACTTTGAGACATAACTCCCAACATTAAAGACGCTATGTCAAATGCAAGGATTATTATTATTTTTTAAAATCAGGTCCGTCTTCTATTACTGTACTTTCTATTCTTTGGTTGTCCTCTGTGTGGTGCTGTTGAGTTTATTGTTCTTTTAGCAGCACCAACTCTTCTGCAGTATTACAGGGAACCCCCCACTCTAATGTGGTAATCTAGGTACAGTATCTCCATGACCACATTATAAGCAAGTTTCTGTAAAGTTGGGAGATTTTCATGTAACACCAGGACCTGGGACCAGTCTATTATTGCACTGGGCTGCACAGTGCTGTGTGTAACCGGCAGAAGCTCAGGTGACTCCACTGAGCTTAATGACAATTGACGAGTTGAGTGCATATCACATCAGTATTAAACTTTCTTGTGGCTGCCTGGCTCTGGATTGTCTCTCAGACCAGTCAAAAATGCACGCTGCTCCCCACTGACTAAACACAATGAAGCCTTTCTGGATCTGCCTCGTAGTCTAGGTAAACGTTGGGCAAGTTTCCTTACTCAACGTGCCTCTGTTTATCTATCAGTAACTAGGAACCTTGTTGTTAGTCGATTGGTGGATCACTCTTCGGTGGGTAATAATTTCTTCAAGAAAAAGTAATAATAATAAATTGGTAACTCAGTCCACAGCTGTTTGTGGGACACTGCTGGTTGCAATTCACTGCTGCGTTTCGCCCACAAATTACACAGTCAATTCTTTTTACAGAATATTCCGTGAAGCGCTTTGAGATGTCTCGAAGATGTGATAGGCTCGAAGGTGCTATATCAAATGCAAGAATTATTACTATTTATTATTCATAGCCGCAGGAGTTGGGCTGTCAATCAGTGAGAGGGCGAAGGAACGGGAAAGAACCAGGGAGGGAATGGGAGGAGTCAAATCATGATTGATTGACAGCTGAGCCGTAATAAGGCACTATATCAAATGCAATGCTTATTATTATATTAAATGGAATGGGCCAGCGTGAGAGGAGGTGGTCTGACACACTGTGTTAAAATAAAGAATCCTCTTCATACAGAAATTACTGTGCTATAACAATGCATCTTATTCCATATTCAGTGAGGGTACTTTAAATAAAATGACTCCCCCCTAGACTTTACAGCGACGTCCATTGGTAAGTCTTCCCGACGTGAAAAGCACTGTATAAAGGCGATTTATTGTTGTTGTTATTTCCCCTGTAACACTTCACCACAGTTTTCTGTGTAAACTTTTAATTAATATTCAGGAAATATTAGAAATGCATTACCTTTCTTGCATAGGAGGGAGTTGTATCCAACTGTTAAATCTAGGATCATATCGGCTGACAAGATTTGTGCTATGTTTTCCTGTTAAAAAAGGATATAAATTAAACCCCATTTCCAGCACCAAATTGCTACAGTCTAAGGTATGCAGGGAATTTTAAACAGAAAAATATTCACTATTGCGTCAGCAATCCCCATTCATTTCCTAAAACTTATCAAAATGTTATAGGTCAACAGATCCACTAATACAGATGATGAAGACACAGTAAGCCTGAACCGTATTGTTAATAGGTTCGATAGCAACTCAATATCATTTTCCTAGTTTTAAATTGATCTCAATATTAACAGTGAAGGTAAAGAAAATACTGTACAGAATGTGTGTTTTTATATGTATGTTAACTTTGAAACAATCACGCAATTGCAGTAAAAAAAATTAAAAATTAGTGGAGATTAAAAGAGAAATTTGTGAATGCTACAAAGCTGAAATAAAGCCAGAAAATGTTGGAAGTAGCCAGTTTGTAGATCAGCATCTGAAAGAGAAAGACATGTTAACATTTCGGATGAAACCCATTAACAGCGTTCTGTGCATTTTCCAGCATTTTCTGTTTTTATGTCAAAGCAGTTTCTTTTTCATCGAATCATTAGTTGTTAGAGCTGCATTCTCTTGCTAATGAACACAAAGGCAGAGTAATTATATCCCCACAGTGGGGTCTAACACCAATTGTTTTCTAACGCTAGCGAACTTTCTGATCTGTGTTTACACAGATATTCCTATTGTAAGTGTGGAACGAAATGCTCACAAACATTAGTGAAGACCACCCTGGTAATTGACAGCTCTGTTCCTGCTTCGTAATTTCAAACACGACTCCTTAATTAAAGAGTCTAAAACTGTCCAGTCTAATCCACCATCTGTATTGTAGACTGCTGTTCAATCAAATCTACGATCTGTATTGTGGACGGCTGTCCAGTCTAATTCAAGATCTACTTTCTGGACAAGACCAGAAACTCTGCTCCGATGCTTCCTTTGGAACAGAGTTCCAGCAAGTCGGAGTGATGTACTCTCAGTTACTATAAAGAGCCTCTCTCTCTGATACCTGAATTAAGGAATCCTGTTTGAAATCACTGTGTTTTATACACCTGGTTTCCAGACTTTTTCACCTTCCAATAGACTTCCTTTTAGCAAGACACTGAGTTAAGCAACGTAACTGTTTTGCAGGCATCAGGTGCTCTCTAGTACCTCAGCCAAGTGTCTTTTCTCAATCTAAGCTTAAGCAGCATGTGCTGGCTACCTGATAAACTGTGGGTGCATGATAGCCAAGCACAGGCCTGTTCTCTGATGTCCACACACATCACTTTTCAGGAACCAGCAGTCAGGAGCAGGAGCTCTAGCTGGTTGCTATTTCCCTCTCCATCCCAGGGCTACTGAGGGCGCTTGAAATCAGCTCACTACGGAATAGAGGCCAGTTGCAAACAAATACTGCTTTATTTATTGCTAGAATATTCCTTTTAACAGATGTTCACACAGTTCTTTGAAAAGCATGCCCACGTGTTCAGCTAATATTACCATTTGGGTTCCACTGGTCTTCTCCTCCAAGTACAAACAGGAAGTTTTCTACCTCCACAACACAATGGTGGGCACTGTTATAAGGCATTACTGCAAAAAAACAGAAATATTTTTAGTGCATATTCTTACCCTGCAGTAATTCAGTGTCAGTAATCAATTGGTCACCCTCACATGGAGCACTGTATTCTTTCATTGAGTTTCCTACTGAGCATCACATGAAGTATTCAGAGTGCTGGGTCATGCTGAGCCTCCCCATATGATATTTGAAAACAATCAAAATGAAACCTAGTTATAAACATATTTACCAACAACATTTGATACAATGAGACCATTGGTGGTGGATGTGGCGGGGTGCGGGGTGGAATTGTTAATTTAACATTGGTGTTAATTTTCACATTATTGAAAAATGCAGTAGATCATTAACTAAAGGTAGGTCTGTGAAGGACCCCTACACTCCCCCCTTATCACATCACAATGATTGGGCCTGAAGCTGACCAAGCCATTGAACTGAAGCAATCTCGAGGTAGAGCTAAAATCTCACAAGTGAAGAAGTGTTTCTTCAACTCTGTTCGAAAGAGCTATTCTAAAGAATATAGGCCTAGTTTACTCAACCTATCCTCATAGGTCAACCCCCTCATCCCAGAAACTAACCTAGTGAATCTACGCTGCACCCCTTCTTAGGGGAGTATGTCCTTTCTTAAATAAGAAGACCAAAACTGCACACAATATTCTAGGTGCGGTCTCACCGAGGCCCTGTACAGTTGCAGCAAGACTTCACTTTGCTGCGCTTGCATTTTAAAATGGGTCGCTGAGAGGATGTTCTCACTTCTCTGGCAGCATCATTCCTGCTCTGAACACTAGGAGGTGCTGGAGTGGAAAGTCTGCTAATGTTATATCTCTTTCTGTGAGGAAGCCCAGCTCCACTGGCTCCCCATCCCCAGAGGATAGAGTTCAAAATCCTCGTCCTTGCCTTCAAAGCTCCCCACGGCCTTGCCCCTCCCTACCTCTGCAACCTGCTGACCCCATATCATCCTCTCCGCTCCCTCTGCTCCCACTGCTCTGGCCTGCTCCACAGCCCCCACCCAGCCCGCCCCACCATCGGCGGACGGGACTTAAGCCTTTCTGCCCCCACACTATGGAACTCCATCCCACATTCCTTTCGCCTCACTCCCTCGCTTGCCTCCTTCAAGGCGGATCTCAAAAGCCTCCTCTTCAAACAAGCCTTTGGCCATCCTCCTACCTTCCACCCTCCCTGATCCTGACCCCCAGCTCGGGTCCACATCCCTGACTGTCCAGAGCCTTGGGACTCCTGACCTGAAAGGCGCTTTACAACTAGTGTCATTATGATTACTATTATGATTAAGTGTCTAGCTTTCGTTCAGCTAACATAATGGCGTTGATGAACGCAATATCACATTGTTCCCTCACATAATAATCCTTCAATATGATATATTACCTTTCATGTTTGGAGGACAACATCAACAACAAGATTTCATTTCTAGAGCGCCTTTCACATCGGGAGGACGTCCCAAGGTGCTGGACAGTTGGGTCAGGACCCGAGCAGGGGGGAAATGGTCAGGGTGAGGGGAGGGAAGGGAGGGAGCGAGGAGGGGGTAGAGAGTCGAGAGGGGAGCTGAAGGCACGGTCAAAGAGAAAGGTCTTGAGACCGGCCTTGAAGGAAGAAAGGGAGGAAGCAAGGCGAAGGCACTGGGGGATAGAGTTCTAGAGCCTAGGGGCTGAGAGGCTGAAGGCCTGGCCACCGATGGTAGGGCGGTTGGGGCGGGGGATGTGGAGCAGACCGGAGCCAGAAGAACGGAGGATAGGGGCAGGTAAGTAGGGGGATAGTAGGTCGGAGAGGTAGGAGGGAGCAAGGCCGTGAATGGCCTTGTAGGTGAGGATGAGGATCTTGAATTCGATCCTCTGGGGGAAGGGGAGCCAGTGGAGGCGAGCGAGGGTGGGAGTGATGTGTTCCCGAAGCCTGGTGCGGGACAGTACACGAGCTGCAGAGTTCTGAGGACATCTCAAAGTGCCTCAGAGGGTAAGCTGCAAGTGAAGTGACTGTGTATTTTGTGGTCACTTTTGGTCACATGTACGTTTTTTCGCTGGACCCATCACATGCCACAATAATACTGAAAACCTATAGTGATTCTCCACAATACACTAGTCAAGTCAGTGCAAGTAGTGCTTAAGTCTCGCACCAGAAAGCATCTGCAGTGAAATTCCACCTGATCACAGCCTGTAAAACTATTTTGTTTTAAATTTATGATCATGCAGATTTGTGGAAATACTTTAATTCAATCTTAATTTGGAAGGTATTTTTCTTAAGGACAGTAGAAAACTGTTTTCCAGACTAAGGCTAAGTTTAAGATTTTCATCACAACGCTGTACAATCTTAAAATTTCAGACAAGATGAACTTTCCGGGTAAGTTGGCCTTCTAGGAGCCATTTCCCTTTGCTGTCACTGAAAAAGCTCTGTAGCAAATTAAATAATCTTTGTATTTGACTCAAGTCAAAACATCTCAAAGCAGCCTCCCAACGGTCAAGTCAAACTTCTAAGACAGACCAATAGATGGTCCAAGAACATTGTGTAACAATACTAACAAAGCCAATCATACAACCGAAGTTGGCTGGAGCTCTGCTTTGCAACAGCCTCAATATGATGCAGAACGGTGTGCCTCCATTGTGGAGTCCTGTAGCTCAGTGGTTAGAGCACTCGGATTGCAAACGAGACACCTGAGTTCAATTCCAGGCAGGGCAAAACGTTGGGCAAGTTTCCTTACTCCACACGCCTAATAATAATCCCTCCAAAACAAAACAATTATAAATTGGTCATTTTCAAACCACAACTGTTTGTGGGGCATTGCTGTGCGCAATTGACTGCCGCGTTTCGCCCACAAATATACAGTCAATTCTTTACAGCATATTCTGTGAAGCGCTTTGAGACGTCTAGAAGACATGAAAAGCGCTATATCAAATGCAAGGATTATTATTATTATTATTATCAGGTTTCATTCCACATACTGCCATCCTGACCAACAATCCTCCAGATCACCTTGTGGCAGGTTGTAGGACCTTTCTGGCGCCCCGTTTACCTGCAAAAGTAACCACTATACTTGATAGCAATTGCTGATGAGGCACTTTGAAATGTTCTGATATGATATGCTGTCTTTCTCACTGTCTACAATGCATTTCTATTTCGTTGTTGGTCGTATTTCAGTTGCTAGTTTTCTTGCCTCCAAGTCAGAAACTGTGGATTCAAGCCCACATTGAGACTGAGAACATGCAATCTAGAGTGATACTCCAGTCCAAAACCCGAGGTGCATCTTCGGATGAAACATTAAACTGTAGTCTCGTTTAACTATTCAGGTAGAACATGGCACTACTTGGAAAGTAGGCCAATAATCCTCCAGATAAAATTGGTCCTTCACTTCATGACTATTTGGTGGATGTTGCTATGCAAAAATTGGCTGTCTTGTTTGTCTAAAAATACATAGTCACTGCACTTTGTAGTAAAATCCTCTGAAGGCCTTTCAGATGTTGGCGACGTGATGAGATGTTATATCAATCGCAATTCTTTTTATTATTTTACACACAGCTTTTTACATCCATGTGATGCTCAGGTCCGTATACTGTGCATTAGTGTAACATGCAGACAAACTGGCAAAACTTCAACGGGTTTCTTATTTTTCTAATAGCTGAAAATAGCAGCTGATAAATTATTCAATTATAAAATATTAAAGTGGCAAGAGAACAATTACTCAAATAGCCAGATGACAGCCCTCTAAGTGCATTCATTGTGCAAGCGAAAGTTAGCCCTGATTATTTCCAGATCTGTTCATTAATTTAAAAAAAAACTGTATATGGTTTTACTTTATGCCTAGGCTGCATGGTGTTTTCAGAAAGCCCTTCGATCTCCCTGTGATCAGGTCACACAGCAGCAGATACTAAAGCTCTGTCTATCATGCCAAATTAGGTAAATGGTAGCACCTAGTTCAGCTTGCAGAATATTTCACAGTCACTTTTCAGAAATTACAGTCTGTTCAGGAAACAGCAGGGAACTTGCACCAGTTCATTAGTAACAAAGCATGGTAATGTGACACGGACCGCTGCTCCAGCAGAAACGTCACCATTTTCTAATGCTAACCCCCTCGGGTACTGAGCCTTGCTATTCAGTGCATAAACTGGGTGCAAATAAATCCACTTTTCTATGATATGCAGCCCTCCACTGGACCGCAGTTAGTGCATGCATCTCCCAGCAGATTCTTAATTTTATCACCCATATTTCAACTTTTCATTTCATCCTTCCTTTGTCAATCATTCTTTCCTTTTTAAATTGAAATTACCTGATAACCTCTCCTTTTTTTTTGAAGAATTATATATTTTCAGTCTTCCTGTTATACAATTTACTTCTTATTCCATTTCAAGAGTCTCTGAGGGTCGTTTCCTTTCCATTCTGATAACTTCTATTTGAATATCTTCAATTGTAAATCTAAGATAAATCATGTGTGCCTGTGTATATATGTATGTACCATAGTGTGAATGTATGTGTGTGCTCCTCGGTATGTGTGTGTCTGCATTTTTGTGCGTGTGTGTGTGTGCCTGTGTGTAAATGTGCCTGTGCATCTCTGTGCACATACACCTGTGTGTCTGTACTTGTGTGCCTCTGTGCACGTAACACCTGTGTGTCTGTGCGTGTGTGCCTGTGTGTCTCTGTGCATGCATGTGTGTGCTTGTGTGCGTGTGTATTTATGTGTATGTATTTGTGCAATTGTGGATCTGTGCGTGTGTGTGTATCTGTGTGTCACTGAGTCCCTGTGTATCTACCTCTGAGTCTCTCTGTGCGTGCTTGTGTGTGTGTTTGCACCAAAACAGGTTCCCAATTCCCCTTGAATCTACTAACCTGGTGCAATATAGGGCCTGACTAGAAGGTGTTTGAATATAAACCCTCACCAATGGGGGTCATGATTTTGCTAATCTCTGCTCGCATTACCTGGTACAGAATACAAAGAGGTTCCATGGAGCAGCAAGAGCCACTAACCCCAGGATTTCCCTGTTCTTTTCTCCAACGTATGGTTCTATTAAGTGCCAGG